TAAGTTGGACGAAATCAGTATTAGACAAGTATAATAACTTCTATCTGATATATTTTGGGTATTCTTATTTGCTCTTTGCTGGATAATGTATGGATATTAAAGGGAGAAGTTTTATGGTAATCACTTCTGGAAGTTAAAGGGTCAACACATTTAGACATATTCTGTGATCTATTGCAATGCAGACCCACGGCAACGAGGATTCTGGTTTTTTTTTTAATGATGCAAACACCAAACAACAACAACAAAAAACTTTTGTTAGTGTTGACGTCATCTTTGCGTGTTTCCTCAAAAAGTGACATGACTAAGAACCAATCAAAATTCGTGTATAATTCAGCTTATCATGTGAGCATGACTGCATTTACATGATCAAAATGAACATTTTATTATGATTATTATGATGATGATGATGATTATTATTATTATTATTTCCATTATTGCACTTATCATAATCAAAACCAAATATGGATGTGAAAGCGATCTTCGCAATAATGAACACTACTTAAGCAGTAGTGAAAACAACGCTTGGAAAAAAGTCCATTCCTGTGCAGGATTTGAACTCATGACCTCTGCAAAGCCATAACAATAACTCTCGAACGTGATTGGTTATCACAAGACTGTTTTTAAAACTATTAGGACACTGCACACGTCATGCTTGTGTAATTGGACAGTATGCCTCATATGAGCGCTCCTTTATCACGCATTTCGCCGAGTAAAGTTTTTTTTATGAAAACATATAAGTCATAGGTAGTTTGCTTCTGAAATTTTTTCATTGTTTTGATTAATTGGTAACAGGACATCATGTCGTCCAATTCTGTCTGTAATCATACTTTTGATGATATTATGATTAACAAATTGGATTCCCTCATCGCATTCGTCCGATTTTTTTATCACAAGTATGATTATGGAAAGAATTGAACGCCGTTCAGTACTCTTACCATCACTAATTATTGTTTTTATTATTATTAATAATTAACAAATTTTCACTGAAATGGAAGTGAATGTGTCGGATATTTACCGAGCCGCGAATAATGGGTTAATATTTGTTTTAGTATATAGCACACAGATACAGAAAATTAGATTATTTCTTTCAACATACCGAAATACGGTCGGAAATTGAACTCTCTATGCGATTTTGTCTCCTTTAGCGAATAGCACTATTCACTTCCGAACTGGCCAATCAGCGCGCGCGAAACGCACGATTCACTGGCATGGTATACACTAGTTGTTATTATTGTAGTTATTTATTTATTATTATTCAGTATTATTTTTGTTATTGTTAACACTGTTATTATTATCATTAATATTATTATTATTGGTATTATCATCATTATAATGTTTTTTTGAATTGTAGGTTTATGTGTGGCACACTAGAACGGAAACACCAATCAAGAATATAAATGGCGAAAAACTGCTCATCTCCAAAGGAAAGCCTTCCAACCCAGAGGTGGAAACATAGCAGAGCTGCATCCAGTTATCAAATTATTGAAGTAATTAATGAAACTAAACTTGACGAGGAGATTTTCAAATCTCCGATTCAAACGTGCAGCGTCAATGTCATGCGCCAAGTGCCTTGGTCATGCAAACAGCCAAAATGAGAGATGGAAAAAAAGGACACGGGTAACGGTAATTTTTCCTCTCTGTTTTGATCGGTACGTGTTAGGGCGAAAAAAAAAGATCCAAAATATGGCGAAACAGAAGTTATTCACACTGAAAAGATCAACGTATGTGTTGTCGTTGTCCACAAAGTAGCTTGTTGGTTCCAACATTTGGAATCGTAAATACCAAAACACTTAGAGATTATCTTCATATTTCAAATTCTTCAAATTTATAGTTGTGTACCTTGCCTTTACTGCAATCTCAAGAAAAGATTTGCAGACAAGTGCTAAGTATTTTTTCTCTCTGTTCTAAAACATAACAACTGAGACGGTCGCAGAATGGCAAGTCACGAAAGGGTCAGCACTGAATCACATTTGATGGTAGAAAACTCGTATTTAATGCTCCACATAATATTATGTGAACGCATTATTTACTCTCATATCTTAGACACTTAAGGTAAAGCATGTTCCAGAAGCCACAAAAATTTTAATCTCCGCCCTTTAAAAGCAAAACCGATCCAAAAGTCTCTAAATCAGCCCAGAAACTCACATTCAGTAAAAGAAAACAAATACAGAAGCGACGTAACACTGTTTTATTTATAACCAATACAATTTTTTAGATTAAAAATGCGATTTTTTATTCCTGTACAAATCCTTACATTTGGCCCGTTTCAAAACATAAAAATGTTTGCATATTTACGGAGTCTCATTATGCAAGCTTGAGCTACCTGTGCAATGAACAGAGTGACAGTTGTTTGTGACCTGAGCGTTGTGGTTTTGCGTAGGCAGACAAATATTTAGTTACTTTCAAAGTTGAATTTTTTTTTTTTTTTGCGCATTTAAACTGTTAGGATATCATTTGAAACATTAACACGCTGTAAGAAGTAAACATACACTTTGTAATGGCGGAGATTTTAATCATATGGTTTGGGGAGCATACTTCTTCTCAAAGGCCTTTTCAGAATTTCTCCTGTTTCCAAGACATGTTATTTTCACTGCTCGCGGTGAAATCATTATTTATATATTTCGGATGAAAAATGATTTCTTCATGATAGCCGGGTACATCAATACGGCCTATGTGTTTTTATGAAGATTCTTTAACCTAACGATGTCATTATCGTTTAGATTTTCTTTTTTATGATAGAGAATAATTCTTTCAGAGAGAAGTAGACTATTTTTTGTTTAAAGTTTTAAAAAAAGAAACCTTTCTGTGAGCTTCAGGTGCTTTAAGATTTTCTTTTATACGATATCAAATACTTCTTAGTTAATATCTGTAATTTAGATGGACCATAACTTGTCGATGAAGATGCGAGTCTGTCTTATCGTGTTTATCATCTTCGTTCATTAAAGATAGCATCAAGACAGCAAAGATTTGGGTCTGTATCCGCATGTGGCCAAGAACTCACCTGTGTTTCTTTTTTGGTATGTGGAAGTGAAAAACTTTGCACATACGTATTTATTGGCTAGTATTTAGCTCTTAATTGGTCAGGTCCAGATATATTAGATATAAATTGATGCAGCCTACCTGTACGTCCTAGGAACCTGTTCCTCGATCGAAGGTTCCGGTAACTTAACGGGCCCGGAAAGCTCTTCTGTTTTCATTCAAGATAAAGGTTTCAAAAGTTTTGAAAATTCTACAACGAAACTATCAGCTGAAGAAAAAAATGGGCTGGTTAGGATACAAGAATCTGCCTCTCTAATTTTTAAGTTTCAAGTCAAAATGTGGCTTCGGGCTCGTTAAGTTACTGGAGCTTTCGAGAAACGGGACCCAGAGAGGCTATGACGGCTTAATTTACAGTACCGAAAGAAAGGTTCTTCTCTAAGAAGCATATTAAATTTTTAAAAAAATTTTCTTGGCTCTTCTCTGGTGAAACTTCTCTCCAGGAGTTAATAGTTGTTTTTGTAGCACAGTTTTATGTCATCAGTATGTTATATGTTTCTCTTATGTAATACTTTTAAATTTCTCTTCGCTCTTGTTCTCCTTGTTTTCAACAAAATGTAGGAATTGTAACTTTTTTCCTTAAAAAAGAACAAAGATTTATAACATACTTTGTGTGTGTTTCTTAGAGAGGGACAGAATTAGGAACCCGTGACTGTTTATCGCCGGGGGGGAGGGGTTTTGAGGTGGGATCACATGGTTTTCTTGGGGGAGGGGAGAGAGGATCATTCGTCGCCAATAGAGTCTAAACGGGGAACTAATAACTGCTAACGGGGGAGTAATCAAAGTAACATCACCTGGCCTAATAGGGGGATCAGCCAAATCTCCTACCCCCTGCCTTAGGCGATAAATAACAAAACTGACCCAATACAATTTAGGAAGACGAGCAATTAATTCCTTCTAAATCATTTTGTAATTTTGTTATGCTCTGGTCTTTAGCAACCAGTGTTCGACAGTTCAAACGACAGACATTGTTTAATTCCTATAAACTGATTGGTTAATCTTGCTCAAGTAATTCTAGAAGTGACTAGATTAATGATGCCACAATGATGGCGAAATACTGAAAACCCTCAAGCAGCGAAATTTCCGTCTTCCTGGAACAAGCAATGCCCATAAGCGAATATCAAAGTAGCTTTTTTGCGCCAAATGGAGACTATTGTTTAAACATTCATTCAGTACAGCTTTTACGCTTAGTTGGCAGAATGTAAATTATTCAGCAAGATTCACTTTATATTGGGAGAAGAACTATTTTTTGCCATTAATTCTCTTCGCTTCTTCGGAGAACCGTTTGTAGACCCAATTCATCAATTAATTTACGATCGACCGATTAGATTGCACGTCTCTGTAACCAGTCATCAATTATCTACGAAGTTGGGCAGGTGATAAAGTTTATTTCACGGAACTTTAGGTGATTTCAAATCTTGTACAACACTCTCTGTGTTTTATGAATTATAATTACAAAATGTTTTATGAGTTCCTGCAAGGTTATAATTTTGTTCAGGTTGGTCAAAACTTGATAATTTAAGAATGGGTCAATCAAAAGAGGGAAAGAGAGAGAGGACGAGATAAATATAATGAGTAGGGACAGGAAATTTAAAAAAACGTAGCTAAAAGGCTGTCAGAAGCTAATATGACATGTCTTATGCACTTACTAACAAAAGAGAAGTGGCGCTTCGCAAAGTAGTCTTGTTAAGTACACACTGGTAATTTTATGTTGACCGGTAATGATTTTTTCCCCGAGAATTATGTAGTTAGAATATAATGAAATATCCTGTTAAAAACCTTTCCTTATGTAAACTGTCAGGTGCATAATATAACTATCTTGATGATGAATTTGATAGCTTTTTCGACGCCGTTAGAGTTATTCTGTGCAATCACACCATTCTGTTTGAATAAAACCGCGCACGGAGGACCATCAAAACCATAAGCATCAATACAGTTGTTGATGCAACACCAACGTCGTATCGATGAAGCTTGCAAAGGTTTTACTATTGATACTGTTAAAAGGAATTTTCGCTTTTACAAGCGACAAATTTACAGCTGCTTACTCGAGCTCAACCTACTTCCTGACTTTGGAAGATAAATACCTCACGGGTTTTGTTGTGGAACAGTTCGAGTCTCCGAGCTTGCTTTCATGTTCACATTCTTGTTTGAGAACTTCCTGGTGTTCTTCTACTAACTTTAAGGAGTATTCGATGATGGAAGCAGGCAAATGCGAGTTGAACAGCCACGAGGTTCTCGATGTCGGCAAGGGTTCCCATTTCCAAGATCGCCGAGGCTCAAGATTCTCACTTCTTCGTAAGGTAAATTAATCAGTCAAACTGTAAGGTGGCTGCTAAAGTAAATATCAAAATTTTTCGGCAGTATCGTTTATAATTAAACATTTCAAGCTTAAAGGACATACCTCATCTTCCTCAAAATTGTATTTTGCTAACGCTCGTCTGGTTTCAGTTTAAAGTGTTAGAAATAATTTCCTAACACTCGTCGTTCAGTTGACTATATCTTTTATTCTCTCTTTTATTACGCAAGTTATTACAACGAGGATTAGCTCTGATCTCCCTAAGAAAGTGTGGGTCACCGCTTGCATTTTTTTTTTCTTGCATTGTAAGGGTGACACTTACGGAGTTGTCAATCTCTAACCTTCGTCATACTTTTACACTCAATTAGCGAATCACGCTAAGCTACGTAGAGCGCAGTTCGTATACTAAGTGGATACTTTCGCAATCTTTCTGACCTAAATTTCTTGGTCTTACGGTCAAATTCGGGCAAACCAAAAACGAGATTGACGTTATAAAAATCTTAATAAACTTACTAACAGAATTAAAATCATACTTGAAAAGATATCAGAAGAGAAAATAGTCCTTGAAGGCTATTGCATAACAGCAGAATAAACACAAAATTCAGAGAGGAGAGGCCGTACCCAAGGTACCGTCCCTAAAAGAGCTACATGCTAGTCGTATAAGTTATCTAATTACAAATTCAGTGCGGAAGATGAAAAGTACTACATGTTTACACTTTAAGTCACCTCTAAGAAAAAGATGTGTTGAACGTGCTAAATTGAAAACTGAAAACTATTTTCCTGATCGGGAATTCGACATGGATTTAGCCCAAAAACGAGAGTATTAAATGGATAAATGTGTAAAGAAATGTACAAAGGAGGGTTATTTCCAGGAAATTCCTGTACGGGATCAATTTTTATAGGTTAGAGTCACTTTCTTAGTAATTAATTATTTTTTTTAGCAACATAATGAAAATATACTGATATCTAGCCGCAAACCGCAATTTACGCAAAAACATCTGTCTTCATGTCAATTTCAAGATCATAACAAGGAAAAGGTAACCAAACCCTACCTGTAAGATAAGACTGCCAAAAGGAATAAGAAATGATCAACTGGCTTATTATAATGTCTACTGAATGGCTTATGTAAATATGTTATTTCCATTTATTTTCACGTTCAAATACGTCAAAAATCACCTATAATGAAATTTTGCCAGATGCCAATTTTGTCTTTTTAACAAAAGTAGACCTTGAAGGAGTTTTACCAGTTCAATAACCTCGATCACTCCTTAAAAAATACGACAAGCCAACCACAATATGCTAATAAAAGAAAAAAGGTTTTCATTATGACATGATTCAAATTGACGTTTTATCGATTTGCACTGACTCCAGGTAGAAAGGCAGATTTACACATCATGGGCTTGTGGCGGAGGACACTATCCACGAAAGCCCGCTAAAATTATAGGTGCTTATTTGTCAGTTGTTTGAGCGAAATTGTTTGTGACAGCAAATTCACCAGGGGGAAAAGTTTAACTGTCCTGCCACTCACCCAGTTAGTGGAACGAAATGATTATGTGCAACAGACCAGAATGGAGTACATAGGAGCTTAGTTTGACAGCTTAGTCTATAACATGAGGCCGAATGTTTGCCTTGTACTAAAATGTCATATTTGCATATCAATATTCTCTCGCTTCAAACGTGAAAAGCAGAAGTATGAATACCATAATGATTCGATTTAGCGCCCGGGGCGCTTATTTGCTTTTGTTACCTGAAGAGAGGGCGCTTATTCGAAACAGGGCGCTTATTTCTTTTATGAGAAACAGCAGTATAGTATGTCAACGAAGCTTTGATGTTCATTTGATTGAGGATCAAAAAGACTGTAAAGCGGACTTGTTGTCCTTTATGTTTCCTTACAGACTTATCCTCTTTATTCGGATAGTTTGAAAGGCTCAGTTACATATTAAAGCAAATAAGCCCGCCGAGTTATGCTAGCTAATTTTGCAAGAGTTTTAATTTCTCGCCAAATCTCAGCGCCATTTAGACTCAAAGTCACCACGTGATCATTGAGGTGTCTCTTCTTCCTTAGTTTAATTAATTTGTTTGTCTGTTCGTTCATTTATCAATTTGGTTACTTATTTATTTTTGCGAATCAGAGCTTTTCTGTACTTAGAGAAGAACACGAGCTTTTTCCTTTTCTCTGCAGAGGCTAAGATAAAAAAAATTAGACTCTTTCTAAATTCAAACACTCTCAAGAAAGCTTGTCAAAGATCAAATGTTGTATGTTTGACTTAAATTTACACACCCGTGCTTTCAGAAAAAGGAATGTTATATTTTTTCATAAATAATCTATTTCGGGGTGTTTCATCTCTGTGTGATAGGATTGTGCGTTGACTGGCTGCCTTAATGGTGGGTCATGCCTGTTTGATGAGAAGATACAAAGATTTACATGCTCTTGTAAACTACCGTGGACCGGAGACAATTGTGGAGTTAACGCAACAGGTAAAAAAAAAAAAGATTTGCTAACCTTATGAAAAAATGCCATGTTCTTCACTGAAAAATTGTCCTTTGATCAACAGATAATATGGTGTATCTATAAGGTTGTTGATCAAAAATATTATAAGCCTGAGACACTATGGGTCTATACTAACCTTGATATTGATACAGTGCTATCTCAACCTCTAATTAACACATCATAGTTGCTTGTCTCAGGTTCAACTATATACACATTTAAAGCTGCGACAACTATCTTTGACAGCGAAAAATGACAAAGAAAAAAATTCTAAGTCCCCATGAGGAATCGAAGCTCAGACCTTCGGATTCCGCGCTCCGATACTCTACCGTTGAGCCACAGAGACTCTACAGTGAGCGAGGTTTATTACGAAGTTCATATGACACGCGTCCTGCATACTGCTAGGATCAGCAATGTCGATAGCGTCATGTTTATAGATAGATTAAGGGAGATGGTAAGTTTTGTGCTCGGTAAAGAAATAGAGGAAGATGCTTTTCGTCTTGTCACGAGCGTGGGACAAAGAAAAAATTTTGAATCCCTTTGACTAATCGAACCTCAGATCTTTGGATTCCGCGGGCCACGCTCGTGACAAGACGAAAAACATTTTCCGCTTTTTCTTTACCGAGTTTAAAACTTACCATCTCCCTTATTCTATTTATAAACAATCTTTGAAACAGAGTAGCCTTTTTCCTCGAAACGAAGTTAAGGCTGATTTATCAGTGAAGAACACAGGCACAATCTAAGCTTCAGGAAACGGATGGATAGAGAAAAAAAATTAGAACAGGAAATTGTTTTGAGGCATGATTGGTCATTCATCATTCTCTTGTAGAAGTTTTCGCTCTACAAAACTTCTTTTGAAATCAGCATGCATCTCAAGTCTTTTCATTCAGGCCAAGAGAACATTAAGTTGATATTCTCTTGTTCAGGCAAAATGCTAGAAGTCAAGTGACTATACCAAAATGTACTACCTCACGTTGCTCTAACGTCCTCGACGAAGGTTTAAGTGTATTTTAGGGTCTATGTTAGATGACAAGATGGTGTAACTTCATTATAGCGTAATAATTGAGCTATTTTATGTCAGGCGTAAGTATTACGAGGAAGGAGATCTTAGTTTCTCGTGAAATAAATACTTCCAGTTACTGAAAAGCCTAGCTGTTCAACTAACGTAAATCCTAACATATGCAGAACAAATGTCAATTTGCCAGCATAGTTGATTTTGAAACGTTGTTGTATGTCCTTGAGCAGTTTACCGAAGCTGTGATGAGTTATTCAAGGCTGGGCATGAGGAGAGCGGAGTTAACTTAATCAGACTCAACCAGTCCGAGTTTTTGAGGGTGTACTGCGACCAACAATCAAGCAAGGGAGCAGGTAATTAGTTATATGCAGAGCACAGATAGCAACACATTTATTCTTTTAGCTTATTCACCAACAATCAACAAGAAATTTGTGCTTACTTCCTCTTTAATTCATGAACTTTACAAAAGGTAGATGAAAAGACAGTATTTTAAGAAGCTCACCGCAAAAAAGGAGATTAATGACGGTGGCTTTCCTTAATCGCTTCATTCAAAATTGATAAAAGTATAAAAACTATAGTTTAATCAAAACATCATCTAAACAGAAATAAGAGCTATGTAAGGGAAACATTACCTCGTAGATTTAAACACATGCAGTATAAGAAAACAAATGTTCTATCCTTCAACAGGATGGACCATGGTATTCAAGGTAGTGTCTGGTGTGGTGTCGGACATTTACAGATTGTGGTCATCAGCGAACTCCTTTAACGAATACAAAACAGAGGCACTAAATGTCAACGCGTCTCTTAAGGGGCATTACAAGAACCGCCTGGTAAATAACTGGAATGCTGTGAATCCTAAGGAGGTATGATTAATTGATCGTAAATTTCTTATCAATTGCCCCACAACAATGTCCTTCTAGTAAATATTGATAATACCTCATTTATATGGGGCTATTTCTATCTCTATCTAAAAGCGCTTTACAATGACTGAAATAAACATAAAGTGCTTGAAAATCCCAACTGGTAGGAGGCAGACCAGTTGGCTATTTACACAGCGCAGCCGGGATATTGAACTCGGGGCGACCGTGAATAAATCCAGTGAATGGTAGGGTGGAGGACTTGAACCTGGGGTCAGATTTCAAGTCCAGCACCCTAACTACTCGGCCTCGCCGCCTCCTATAGCTGGTTGCATTGACAAGTAACAATTTTTCTATCTCTGCCAGGATCAACGTTCTTATTATCTCATGGTCAGATTTTAATCGTTAAGGATCTAGAAAATGTATGTTTTCCTTTCTCAGGTGCGTGTTTCATTGTACAAAGATGGATCTGAAATTTTATCCATGGTGTTTGACGCCAGTAATTCCGATAGCGAAAACTGGTTTTCTAAGGATCGGATTACTTATGTTCCCTGGACTGACCTAAGAACTGAAAAAACAAACGTTTTCGATGTGAATGTGTGTTGTGGAAGAGCGTTTTCTATCTTCAGGAATTATGGAGGATGCAGAAACGATGCTGGATGGCTCGTAATAACTGGTATGGATTGTGATTGGGAGAACCGCTTTCCAAAAACTACTGTCATGTATAGTAAACTTCGAACTCACGTTGACCTCAATGACTTCGGTAAGAAAAATAGGCATAACATTGTTATTTTCTCAGTTTCTTTTGTTTGTTTCTGTTTTTTTGTTTTCTCGTTCTTGCTGCGACGAAAGGTTTAATAAAAATTTTTTACATGCTTTCGCTCGGCAGCAAAGAGTCGTGTTCGATTATGATATTTGAGTCGATTCCTAGAAGAATAATCTAACTCGGTTTTTATTGTTTTCTTCTCAGTAAACGTTGGCATTGCAGATGTCTTCGCAGTGTTTATTCGTTAAAAACTAAGGTAATAACCCGACCGAACTGTTCTCTCTTGATCTTTTAATAAGAATAACTGACAAGCACTGATGATCTAAGACAAAACGAATCTCATGCAGTTTGCTTAGCTCTTCACTATGGACTCGGAAGAATTGATAAATGTAAATGGTAACGAAACTTTTTCGTTCCACCTTAACTGTAATATACTGTAATATGTGTATTTTCGTGAGGGACGATGTCGAGGCTGTCGCCAAAAAGTGCCCGTGATGCTCAGTGCGTGTCTTTTTTTCTTGTTTTGCTTAACCAGCAACTACTGACAGGTTTTGTTGAGACAAAAGAATGCACGATTTACTGGTAACATGGGATCGTAACAAGTTGATGTTTAGTAGAGTCGACATCATGCTAACAGTAGGCTTGAGGTTCGTCAAATCGTTTAATCGATTTCAGTGATTCACAAAAATAATCCGCCTATCTCAATGACTGTAACAAATTGTACAACTGGTTCAGTTCGGATTAAAGGAGGCCAAAAACAGCTATTAGTTACACGCAAAATCTATAAAAAAACTTACTAACGGAATATTTATGTACATATTTATAGAAGTTTGCTCATAATTGGCTACTTGTCTTTCAAACAGGGGCAAGGGTTGAAGACACGCTCCGATTGGCTACTCAGACACCGAGTATCCTTTGCTATTCACCTCCAAGCAACGTGCGCGGGATTTGCGGCCAAAAATGTTGTAGTTATTGCAGGAATAAATGAGTTGTAATCATCTTTTTGTGCTATATTATCTCACTATTTAAGTATAATTCTAAAACGACCATTTACCGGCAATGTCAGTGCTCACGGTGGATATTTACCTTGCCGCTTTACCACTACCACCTCTGCGAATAGCTGTTAAAAATCTAACTCTACGTGAATTTGTGTTCAGTTGTAATGATACAAGTCACCGTTTAGTTTGTTTCAAACACCATATTTTCAGGTCACTGCGGCCATGAATCCCATTTTTAGTACTCTATATCATTCAAAAGTGAAATGACGTCTTATTTCATCCTTTCATCCTGTGTGGAAAGCACAGCATTGTGTTGTCGGTGCCAAGAATTCCCTCTGTGATCATTATTCCCTCCATGTGTATGGCATGATCATCGCCTTTTCACAGAACGAGTTCCTCAAGGGTTTGACTTTCTATTCTATTTTCGTAAACTTCAAGAGGGCCCATTTGTCCTTTAAGCAATGGATGTAACCTGTCTTAAAAACTCTCCTCCATTCCACGTTTTAAGTAACAAAATGCTTTTTGAATGTCATTATGTTCAGGGTCATTTGGAGAGTTTGGTATGTTGGCTATGACATCATCAGTGTCTTTGAATAACAAAAGAGGAGAAAGGATAAATGAAGGAATGCAATTGATCTCAAATAAGATTAAGAAGTCAGTGGTACTAAATCATTTAAATTTTGCATCTACTTAAGGTCAGTCTTAGATCTAAGTGTATTATTAACGAGACCTGTTGCTGTGGACTTCGTAGCTTCAGTTTGTGAACTTTCACTCCCGATCTCGAATTACAGACGATTTAGAATTGATCACGCTTTGCAATCTTTCTCTCTTTACGAGGGAGTTCCACCACAATAGCAAACAAACGTCAAATTCAATTTGGAAGAACAGTTCAAGGCAAGTCGATTAATAACAAAAGAAAATATCGCTGTTTCTGATTTGAGGAAAATACGTCACTTAAAAAAACAGTACCTCTGACAGAGGACGCTATGTGCTCTAAATAAATTTGCTAACTTAACAAAAACATATATAAAAATATGTTGATGTGACAGTTGCTCTTCCAAGTGTCTACGAGACGGCTGTGCAAAGCTTTGCCCTTACTATTACTTATGCAGTAGTACAAGCGCTATTCTCTTCATGAATACCTGTCTCTGGACAATGGATCAAGGCATATGAATACCTATGTGAGCAAGGAAGGAGTTCCTCGATCATTGTTTCTTTCAGTGGGAAATAATTAAGTTTTCAACATCTTTAGGAACTAAGCCAACATGTGACAAGCCAAATTTTCGCACAGCTCTGGCGGCGATACATTTTAAATTTAACTCTATTTTAGTCCTTTTAGATACTATTAACCGTGCTTCATCTGTTTCAGCCACATCCATGGCTGTTTTCCTATTTTTGTTAACCATATCTGCATGAGCTCCTCCGTTCAACAGGGCCTCCAAAACCTCTCGTAACACATGCAGGCCATCATGGCTGGGTATATAACTCGTTGCTAAGTGCAGAGGGGTATTTGTTTCGTTATTCACATCATTGACAAGTCCTCCAGAATCGATGATAAGCTTCACGGTCTTAACACATGATAAACTGCATACTCTTCGCAATCTTCCTTGGAAGTCGTCACATATTTGGGTCTTGTACCATGCAGCCAAGTGAAAAAGGGTATTGCCATCGCAAGTCTGATAGTCACTCCATTAAATATATAATTTTCGTGTTTTTTCTCTTCACTGGAAGGTGGACTTCGACAAATATCAATAAAATATAAAGCGCATAGTGTAGTATGAGCTCTTGTTCTTCGTTTTGTTTTCTATGTTAATTTGAGAACTCCTATTTTTCCTTTAGTCTTTCACTTGCGGCAACCAGTTTTTTGAAGATTACCTCCATACATTGCAAGCTTGGGTTTCGAGCTTTGTGCGCCATTTCTCCGAATACGTTTACAAAAGGATCAAGGTCTTTTTTAATCGAATCATCGCACAACATAGCCATTTCCATCGCTCGTGTCCACAAACCAATGCAGACGTCATACTTCCCATGATCGGCGAAAAAAGCCTCACGGTATTTTAAAAGATAGCAAAGTTCCTTGTTGCCATTTTCAAGGATTCTCTCTCTCATTATAAGCCCCTCCATTTGTATAGCATGTTCATTATCATTTAACAGAGCAAGTTCTTTAGAGGTTCGACTCTCTTTTCTATTCTCGTAAGCTAGTAAGGGTTCCATTTCCCTTTTTAGCAAAGGGAATGAAATATCTCGAAATCTTTCATTCATTCAACATTTTATGTACCAGAATGCCTTATTAGTGTCTTAAGTATCAAGGTCATTGGCAACGGCGGCATCAAGAAGTTCAAGAGCATTATATCTTTCTTCCTTTGAACACTTCAGTCGGTTGATAAAATACTACACCAATTCGATTTTACAATGATTTCTTCCCGTTAGACGTGGTTATTTTGAGGCTGCAACCCCTTATGACTTAGGAATTTATCGAAAATTGCAGTGTAACCCCATCTCGTGGCCAAGTGAAGGGCTGTATAGTCGTCCTTGTCTTGGAAATTCACATTTGCGCCGTGCTTGATTTCGTTTTCCATTCTTCATTTTCTGGGTTCTTTATGTTTCTATCAGAGACCTCTTTGCATCATCGTTCCGTTTTGGTGGCTCTCAACGGGGTTAACCTTTACTCAAGTGTATTTGGGCTTGGCTACCTAATTAAATATGCATAATTTGTAAAATGCTTTTTTAATTGGTTTGATGCTCTCAACGATACGTCAAAGTGATTTATAGATTTTTCTCCGTAGAAAAGATGGGTTCCTCGTGATTTCAAATATGTGACATTGCTTTTTCAGTGACGTCACAAAACACGTTTTCTCAAACGGGGTAAATTTGTAAACCTAACCCCACAGTTTTTTTCAGACTTGTATGCTACAAAGACTGCGTAAATGATTCTCCCGCCATTTAAGGTTGAAAATTCTACTTATGCCGTTAGGGATTTAACAAATTCCAAAGTCACGTGAACTCTTTCCGTTTATTTTCCGATTTGCATATGACCTATACATATTTAAAAAGCAGCCTTCGAAAAATATCCTTGAAAGCCTTTGAAAAATACCCAAAAGAAAACGTTGCTTTTTTTGTTTTCCTTACCCCATTTAAGATTGAATGTTTTGATCGGTAATTTCGCTAATTAGAGGTCCGTGACCCGATAGTACCTCTTATTGTCAATGTCGTTATTTGTACCATTAGTGCAGGTTTTAGGCGTATTGACAGGGCCGTAGCCAGACTTTAGAACAAGACGAGGCAAGTTTCGAGCGCCGAAGGCCGAAGGCACTAATTCCGTGGAATTTTTCTTCAGAAAAGTCAATCTTGGGCCAAAATCAAGACGAGGCAATTGCCTTTTCTAATATTATGCATATTTACTTAGCTAACCAAGCGTTAACACACTTGAGTGGCAGTCAAAAAGGCCAAAATATTTAGCCGGAAGGCGTTAAGAAATGAAAAATTTTAACTGTTAGTCGTAAACAAATTTAACCGCAAAAAGCACGTGGGATGAGTTGACAGAAAGCTTACTATTTTTATGGATCTTCAGTTTCTTCATTGAGTGTGGCTGTTCTGAAAGATCTCTTTCCGTTTTGTGCGGGTGTCACTATTTGTTATGTTACATAAGAGTCTTACAGCGACAATCGTAATCACTGTAATGTGTCATACGCATGCGTCATTTCTGGGAAATTAGAAAGTCGATATGTCAATCTCCAGTGGAGTGTTTGTTGCTTTGGTATATTTTGTTCTTGGCTGGGGAGGGGTGGGGCTGGCTTCATTTGTTAGTGAAGAGAAAAGACTTTTTCGACAATCAAAACAATGATAACGATCATTCCACTATTTTTCTTTCTCTCAAATCCGTTACTATCAATTGTTATACAAGTGATCATGCAAGCGGCAAGAGAGTACTGTCCAGATTGTAAAATTTGTTGTAAGTTAATGGATGATGAACGGACTGGAGGTAAAAATCTCCTATATTGCTCAAATGCTGCACTTTGATTAGCCTTGCCATTCGCTATCTATTACGTTTTATTAGGTAAATTATACACCGATATCATTAATTCTTTCTTATTTCTAATGGTGGACAGACGATTTTAAGACGTCACCGTCAGCAACATTTTGCTTTAAAGAAAGATGTTTTTCGTCTCGTCACGAGCGTAGGACAAAGAAAAAATTCTGAGTCTCCATGAGGAATGGAACCTCAGACCCTCGGATTCCGCGCTCCGATGCTCTATAAAGACTCCACAATGAGCGAGGTTTATTACGAAGTTTATTTGACACGCATCCTGCATACTGCTAGGATCAGCAGTGTAATGGGGGGCGTAATGTTTGTAGATGGAATAATAGGAGAGATGGTAAGTTTTAAAAAAAAAACTTCGTCGTGGGTCTGTTCACTAGTAGATCGCACGATGCGGTAAGTGTGGTAAGAACACCAGTGACACACTCAGTTGCGCCTTCGCGCAGAAAAAAAGCGCAATGTCTGATTGTCAAGAGGGTGCTGTAGATGTCGGCTAAACCTCGCTTTCGGTTTAAGCATCTCTTGGCTTCCGGTTGATGGAAGTGGCCGTTTAGGACTGAACACCAATAGGAAGGAAAATGGCGGAGGGGCGCCTTTCCTTTGTCTCATCACAACATGGCAAAATATCGACGAGATCAAGTCATTTCTAAAGATATCCTGAAGTATTTATTCTTCTAACAGACGAATTGATGCTTTTTAAAGAGGTTTTAATGCTCCTTCCACAAAGTGAAATCTGTCTGTGAATTCCTTTCGCTTTTCCTTCGAGGTGGCAGGAAGTTTCCCATGTTTGTTGAGTGCCAAGTTTTCGAATGATTATGTCGACAGTGGATGGTCAGTCGTGGCGGGAATTGCTCAACCCAAAACCAAAGGTGTACGAAGCGGCTCGAGATGGCGCTGTTATTC